CTTGTTTATGGGAACGAACATACAGACTCCCCCAAAGAAATCACAATACGCATAGGAGTAAGGACATAAATGATTTCATTTTGATTATTTCACGGGTACTAGAACGACCTCAATAATTTGTAGTCATAACATATACTTTGATATGTTTTTAAAACTATGACATCACTATCACACCACATTTTATTTTTATAAAAAAAATTAATAGTCTCTAACTCCACTGAAACGTGTGAGGGTATATTGTTTTTGTAAGTGCATTTTTTACAACCAGAAGAAAAGATAGTAGACCACAGGTTAGGGGTAAATACATATAAGTATGTACATATGCATATTGTTGTTGCAAAACACAGTGAAGGATATAGGCGTACCTTTAGCGCAGACGAAGATGACTTTTTAGCACGTTTTCAATCCATTTCTGCACATTAAATATTTATAAATTACTTCTAATATATTTTAATCATTTAATTTAATTAAGTTCGTAATCCGTTTATTGGTGCAAAATTAAAAAATGAATGTGCCTTTCCAACAACAACAACTTTATTCATCCAGGTTTTCAATATGCAATTTCATTCCAATTAGAGGCAAAAAAGTTTCGCCTACAAACTCTTTCTAAATCATAATATTTGTAATAGTATGGTCTATATTGGGATATATATTGATTGAGGCGGATTGTTCCATCATGCTGTTATTAAGCGTAAATATATGTATTTTTCACAAACATACACTGCAAACACCATATAGCCATTAGTTTTTCAGTGAAGCTTATCATCAGACTATGTATTTCGATTACTTTAGTTATATTCCATATTTCGTAAACATTCTGTTTTAGTTGCTCATCAAATGATATCTAACTGAGACATCGATCGTTAATTTTAAAGAAAATGATAATAATAATATTGTATTTTAGATTGTAGTATTTTATTTTTGTTGATAGGTTTTGCAAATGCAGGAAAGGGGTCGATTTCAAAGACTTTCAACTCTAAAGAGACTGAGAAACACACACAATACATACCTTCATAGTACATACATGCACATATGATGCATCATTTAGCTGGCAGGTTGCATCCTGGTGGCACAGCTCTAAATGTCCAATGCCCTAAATGAACTTGTCGCCGTCAAAGTGTTGTGCTGGAAAGCGCCACAAGCAGGAGGCAGCAAGACAGAAAGAGAGAAAAAACGCCGATAGAGAAGAGGAAATGTGTCGGAGCAGCTGTTGCTCTGCTCCTGGTCCTGGGCGATGAAGGCATTTAGTGGCAGTAGTGGCGGGAAGGCTAGTGATGTCAGGAAGGGATGTTCGGACCATAAAACGATTGCAATCTCTGTGTGTTGTGTGTTTGCTCCACGTTGCGGTTGCGGTTGCAGTTGCTGCTGCTGCTGTTGTTGTTGTTGTTCTTCTTCTTGTTATTACTGCTGCCGCTTCTGAACTTAATTTTCTACCACTTGCTCATTTAAAAGATGCAGCCCGAGGGATATTATGGAGCGTGCATATGTGGTGCCAGTTGCGAGAGCTTCATGGCAGATCTTTGCTCGCTGATAGCCAAGTCAGCTCGGCTTGACTTGACTTGACTTGACTTGGCTTAGCTTGGCTTGGCTCGGCTTCTCTCGACGTAGTACGCAGGGCCATGTTTTGTCAGCGAGAATGAAGTCGTCGCCATCGTTGTCGTGGTCGGGGCATCCTGCTGGACTAAGGCGAAGACTGAGCCAGGCGTCCCAACAGCTCAAATAGCAATGCAGTTGCGACAGACACCAAACATACACAATTTAATTAAAGAGACGACTACCGGGCTACCGCTTAACATTAACGGTTGCTGACGCCTCGACGATCGTTCGTGACACGCATAAATCTTGTGCATTGATCGGATCTGGGTGATAGTTCGCTGGGAATGTGGCAGCGTTTTGCCTTATCTTATCGGCCCGTCACTTTGCATTCTCATCGATGCTGTTGTCGTGCTGTCGGTGCTGCTGAGAGAGCAGCTGACCTTCGCTCGACCTCTGGTCGCCACTTACCCATTCGGAGTGCTAATGAAGATCTTAAAATAAGTGACCATTTTCTCTGCTCATCGCATCTCCCCTCGTCTCTCACCTCTTCCTGCTCGCTTTACATAATTTAGTTTCAATTTATATGCCATAAAATTGATAATGGCCGCAATTAAGTTCGTGTTCCTTCGATAATTTTCCACATTTACGCGGCCATTAAAGTGATTCCCAACGCATTTTTCTCGCACACTATCTACTCCTCATTTCCATAGACGACGACAAGCCAAACTCAAAGCCAAAGACAGAGCCAAACCCAGAACCAACCAGCCAGTGGCCGACCTCAGTCCTAAGCCCCGCTCTCATCCATTCGCTGACGTTCTGGCCCTAGTCTTCGGGGCGTCGTTTGCTTATCGCATGCACCTCAGAGCGGACGAAGAAAAATGATAGACGCATACTTAGTATGTATGTATGTATGTATGTATATACATACATATATATGTACATATGTACAGGAAATAAACATCTTAGCATACCTTTTGGGGTGTTTGCAAAGGCGGCTAAGCCGCGTCCAATGTTGAGGTGTTAATTAGTATTATCTTAATGTACGTTCCGGCACATGGCTCAAAATTGAATTATACATAATAATTTGTTCGCTTCTCTTTAAAAAGAAACTTAATGCTGGCGGGCTCATAAAAAGTCTGATATGTACGAGTGTACCCCCGGTCTTCCCGCCTCTCCATTAGCGCAGTTGGTCACACGCGCTCCCAGACGCTGACAAATGTAGGCAGTTTTACGCGTATTCGAGTATATGTACCTAAGATATAGTCAGCTTTCGCACAAGTCCAGCCCCCGAGACAGAAACGTTGTAAGCACCCGCCCAGCCTTAAGTTAACTGCTCGTGATAAACACTCATTAATCACATTAGATATGCATTAATACAGCGCTGGTAAGGAAAATGGGTCCCTGCTCTATTTCTTCAATGACAGCAAATATCCAGGTGGGTCGAGATACATACCCACACACACACGCACACACCTTTAAAATGTGAGGATGGCCATACATTCGCAAATGTAAATGGTTGAAGGCAAATCCTGAAGGCAATGCAAATGACAGATCCCACAGAGTAAATATAATAATAAGAAGCGATGGAGCCCTATTCAATAATATGTATTCGTAAATTATAAAAAGAATACAAATTCAACAGATTTCTCAAAAAGTAATAGTGTTCTTGGGTCCGAGGCTTATCATACAATTACAGAGTAATAATACAAAATAAAAACTGTAGCATGTTTGAAAGGATCAACTTAAGTTAACAAGACCCTATTGATGAAGATGACCTGCTGCTTGCTATGTCACTTTGAAATGTAATACAATGGCTTGAAGTACATAACTATTCAATATGTATTTACATAACTAAGAGCATTAATTTTTTCAATATGTATATACGTGTACTTTCTCGACTTACATTACAAATGTCCCCTCCATCGCTAATGTATTAAAGTATTCCCTTTACCCTAAAGCGGAGTTATGCAATTTGGGTATTTTTTAAAAGATGTCTCTATCTTCCGGAATGGTCTTTAAATTCGCACTTTAATTTCTGAATTTCGTAAATTAAAGTTCTCTATCTTCAGGAATGGTCTTTAAATTCGCACTCTAATTTCTGAATTTCGTATATTAAAGTTCTAGTAGGAACTTATCCTTTCTCTGTATCTTTCTCTTCTTAAAGGTTTTTGGCGCATTAAAGGTCCTGCGGCTGCCTGCCTGCCTGTGCTCTTTTTGTTTTCCTTCACTGAACTGGCAATGTTGCTATAAATTTCCTAGTTATGTTGAAGTATTTTCCATTTTCCTCCGGTCGCAGCATGTCGGCCCAATCAACACAACCCACAACAGCCCACACAAACCGAGCAAACACAGGCACATATAGATATATACATACATACTTCTACATACATATGCATGCATACACTCAAATATTTGAGATAAGAGAGCAACATTAATCGACCGCTACTGTTTGTTTATGCTCGCTGCATCTGTGCTGGTGCTTATCTATGTGAGTTGTGTGCAGAAGTAGATGTTCGTGTAAATGGGCGGAGCTACAGCTGCTGCTTGTTGTTGTTGCTGCTCCATATGAAAACATTACATGGGACACAACATTTCGAAGCGCTTGAAGGGTTGGTTACTTCGGCTTGTCGGGCTACAATTTTAGTGAGAAATTCAGGCCCTACGTGCATTATTTCAAGAGACGCACTTGATCCTGTAAAGGGAGGACTTATAATAATAGTATAATACTTATGACTAGTACCATAATACATACTATATATGCACATGTAGCTGCTTTGAAACGTATATTTGTGTCGGACCGTTGTTAGCGAACAAGAGTAATCCAGTGGATTAAAAAACAGAACTAGCAGCTGATTTCGTCTCTCACTGTAGTGGCTACAACAAGAAAAACAGCCCCCGAGATAAAATGCAATATGTAGCGCCATCAATGGCGCTAAACGCACTTCAAACAAAAACAAACAACCAGACAAATGAGCATTAAACAAACAAAAAGAACAACATACCAATACACACACACGCACACATACATAAGTACAACAATGCACAGCCATTGCGCGCTCACAGGCAACCGCACTCACACTCACGCAGATGCTCACTTAGCAGAGAGCGCGCTTGAGATAAAGAGAGAGCGAAACTAAACATACGAGTGAGCGAATGCGACTGCAGGTGTCTCGCTCGCACCCATCTGCGAGACGCGTCTGCGTCGCCGCAGAGCGAACCCGAGCGATGTTAAAGGCGAGTGGAGACTTTGCCCAGTAAACAGTAGTTGTGGTGTTGGTATTGGTGGTGGTGGTGGTGGTGCTTCTACTGGTGCTGGTATTGGTGGTGGAGCTGGTAGTGGCAGCAGCCGGGCCTAGTTTGGCTGGTCGGACGGCAAAGCAAAGATACTTTTCTTGCGGTGTGCACGCCATGCGGAATCAGTCAATGTCTTGAAGTTGACGGCGCGAGTACCACGCGAGGCGAGTGTTGTGTGCAGTGTGTATTAGAACAGAAAGGAGGAAGTGCGAAAGTCGCCAACACCGCCGCCAGAAGCTCAACAAAAAGTTCGTGATTAACTAAACAACAAAAACAAACTTTGCGTTCGTTTCGCTTCACATACGTGTATGTACCTACATAGATTCAATTTTTTTTCTACCAATATTTGTGTGAATTTTGTTTGATTGTGAGTGCAACAACAATAACAACAACTAAGTATACAACAACTAAATAAAGAAGAAGTGCAAAACGAGAGTGAAAGGGCGCCAAATGTTCATATATCATATATATAAATATATCAAAAATCATACATATTTATAATGCAATCAGTCTGCATACTCGTATGTTACTTGAAAGGCGCAGCTCATCATTATTTGCATCAGTAAGAAGCGCCACAAGCCCGAAAAGTTCCTAAGCTTCTCAGATAGCGACTACGACGACGACCATCGACTACAGTGAGACAGACTAGTTGCCCCCACAGTAGACGAAACGCCAGCAAGACGACGTCGCCCGGTGCCATTATGCTCGTGCCGTCGGATATGATCGCGGCACAGTCCAAAATGGTCTATCAGATGAACAAATATTGTGCGGATCGCGTTCAGGTGCGCAAAGCACAGATACACAAGCAGATTCAGGAGGTTTGCCGCATCGTGCAGGACGTGTTGAAGGAGGTGGAGGTGCAGGAGCCGAGATTCATCAGCTCGCTCAATGACTACAATGGGCGGTTCGAGGGCCTGGAAGTGATCTCACCCACGGAGTTCGAAATCATCATCTACCTCAACCAAATGGGCGTCCTTAACTTCGTCGATGATGGCACTCTGCCCGGATGTGCAGTCCTCAAGCTGAGCGACGGCCGTAAGCGCTCCATGTCCCTCTGGGTGGAGTTCATCACAGCCTCCGGTTATTTGTCGGCACGCAAGATCCGCTCCCGATTCCAGACTTTAGTGGCGCAGGCTTGCGATAAATGTGCCTATCGTGACATAGTCAAGATGATTGCCGACACGACCGAGGTGAAGCTGCGCATTCGGGAGCGCATCATTGTGCAGATCACGCCCGCCTTCAAGTGCGCCGGCCTGTGGCCAAGGTCCGCGTCCCACTGGCCATTGCCCGGCATACCGTGGCCACATCCCAACATAGTTGCAGAGGTTAAGACTGAGGGCTTCGACATGCTGTCCAAGGAGTGCATTGCGCTCCAGGGCAAGAACTCAGCCATGGAGGGCGATGCCTGGGTGCTGAGCTTTACGGACGCCGAGAACCGACTGTTGCAAGGTAAGTGTACCTGGAGCCCCACAAATATATTTCCCGTCGGCAAATCATTGCCTTATAAGTTAGAATATCTGTGTCTTTTATCATTGATTCCACACCCAATTTCGGTTGGCACTAAACATAATCTAGATAGTTTTATACAAATGGAACTAAGTATTTTAGCTTCAAAGGGTTTCAGTTTGAAATAGGACTTTCATACCAGCTTTCAAAATTATCTACCTTGGAATGATAAAAGCTTTGGCAAATATTTTGAAACAAAAAAATGTTCCAAGACATTCCGCCTCAAAAATATCGAAAAAAATGTAAATGACTTCAACATTATAAATATCCAGACTAATATTGAAAGCCGGTTTTTAATGTTGTCATTTAGGTGTTAAAATAAACAAAATGTAAAAAAGGACTCTCAGATAAAATAACAAGAGCAAGTCCGACAGTGAAATACTCTATGCCTTAAAATTAAAAATAAAGGTAGAGATTTGGGAGTACATATAAATTACGATGAAGTGGGGAAGGTGGGCAAAAAATACAAAAAAGGGTAATATGCCTAGGGACAAGGAGAGTCTACATATCAAGCTTGTCTCACCTGTATTCGAAATCTAAGCGTTCATCCAAACTGACAAACATATCCAGATGTATTTGTCTTGACTTGCTGATTAAGAATTCATATAAGTACTTAACTAGAGGTGGACTCGGAGATGCTTCCCTCTGTTACATTATGTTTAAAAGTCCAATGCACCATTTTTTTACCCTTCTGGTACAGAGTATAAAAAGCAATATACCATATAAGAATTGCAGCTTACAGGATATAAAATGACTTGAGTTTTGATAGCTATAGGATTCGTAAGCATTAGCGGAACAAACAAACCTATAGGAATTTTAATTCAAACTCATACAAACTTTAATACGAATATTATTGTTCGCACTTTACTGTGATTTACGGAACTTCTGAAATTATTTCCGAACAAGCGAACAGCATCTGTCATATTAATTAATAATAAATAATAATAATAATAAATAATAATAATAATAAATAATATGAATTTATGAAAATAAATATTTAAGCTGTAAAAAAAAAACAAAACAAATATACAAAAAGTGACAAAAATAAGAAAAGACATACGTTTCTTCCAATTAAACCATTTAATATTATTGCTAAAATAAAACCGTTATAAGTTATACTCGTATTATTAAAAAAACCGTCCAATAGCGATTACTTAGCAACTGACTTTATCCTATTTTGTCCCGTTACATCAACAAGAAAATATTTTAAAATTTCCTATTTTGTCCCGTTACATCAACAAGAGTTTTACGAAAATACTTTTAAGACAATAAATGTCCAAAAAACATTCGATTAGGTTTTAAAATGTTCTAAACTGTGTATTGTTTGAAAGATAAACTATCCCCTTTCTATCAGTGACCGAAGATGATTGATTTAGTAATCTGATTTTTAGAGACATTACTGTACTGCCGTAGAGCCGTATTGTGACGATTGTGACTGTGACATGTCTGTCTCATTCGACTACCGAAAAAAAGAAAGAAAAAAAAAACATGCGGTCAAACCCAAACAAGCAAACACACAGTTTCGGACAAGAAAATACTTCATTGGGTTGTAAATTAAGGTAGCAATCAGTATTGGACCCATTGCTACGGCTGTGGGCCTCTGTCAACACAACAGTAAACAGTTTTACAATGGGCCCAGTAATCAGTGACATACTTAAATTTAATTGATTTATTTTGAAAAGAAAAAGAAAAAGAAAAAGTAAATCAGCGACTGCCGTTTGATATAATTGCTTGTAAATTAAGCTTTGCCTGCCCAACCTGATCGCCACTGACATTGATGAAAGCGATACGAGCAGTCGCGGCTTCTGCCCCATTGCTGGTGTGTAGAGTGTAGAGTGTAGGGATCAGCTGGTGCTTGGAAGCTCGAACTCAACTCTGACTAAGCTGGGGATTATTTAGGTGCATGATCGTATGATTAAACAAGCGATCGTAGTGAGCCTGCAGTTGCGAGCACTGCTGCTCATCGGTGTGGCTGATTATCGGCTCCGATATGATATGAGACACGACGCTCAGTCGTCTAGTCTTGCAGTCCAGTAGTCCGCCTGTCCTCCAGTCGCCAGGTTGGCTACGCTCATAAATCTATTTTGGGGCGCAGTGCACAGACACACACAAAGACAAATCTGCTGATGTTGGTTAGATAAGCGCAGTGTCACTCTGCCTAGATACTATACAAGTATGTATGTATATACCACATAGACGGTGACTTAGTCACATCAACTGGCCAGAGTCGGCAACAAACCCGTTTCGACATCGACAGCGACATCGAATGCGACAACAACAACAACAACGATATGAAGCGAGACCGGCCGGCCGGCCAGCCGGCCATCCGGCCCTCGGTCCCTCCGTCCATCCATCCATCCGTTTGTTAGCTCGTTCCTTGCTACGATATAAACAATGCTTCATCCATAAATAAATTTCTAAACGATTTTATAAATATTTTAAATCTCGGCGATTAGATAAAGTCAGCAAATAAATAAAACAACAGCACGCGAAGGAGAGCGCGAGCGCTCACTAAGCGAGAAGACTCGGAGACAAAGGCGGACACGGAGATGAAGGTGAAGGTGAAGGTGAAGACGGAGATGGGAATGGAAATGGAAATGGAGACGACAAAGCACAAGCAGCAACGAAACTGAAAACAAAAATCAAAAACAAAGCCAAAAACAAAACAGAAAAAAATAACTTAAATTAAGCCAAGACCCAAATCGAAATCAAATCTAAAAACCCTCATAACGATCTCGCTTCGTGTGCTGTGGCTCTCTCACTTCCCCCGCGCCTCATCCAATCTACCTGTAACTCCCCCTCCCCGCCCCACACTCCCTCGCACTCCACACTATTTCTTTCACTGCATGAAGCCATACTTGGCCGAATCGAAGAGCCGCTTGTGCGGTTCGTACCCCCGCCTGTTTATCATTTAATTTAATGCGCTGGCGCATAATAATTTAGCCGTGAGTAGCAACTGACTAACTTTCGGTCTCTCCATATCTGTATCTGTATCTGTATCTCAATCTGAATCTTCTTTTACTGCGATATCAATTTCTGCCCATTGCACTATACAGAATTAGGCCCCCAGTTCGTCAAATCTTATCGCAAACGGATACTTTTCGCTTCAAGCTCGTAGCTTCTAGCAAAATGTTTTCTATTTTTACACACACCCTCTGAATGTAGGTCCCCTCTGTAGAGGCATTATCATTGAGCAATAATCGATACGAACCGAAAGAAATGACGGAGTTTTGCAAACAAAATTGTGCACGTGATCACGGGACAAGGTAAAGATTAGTACCCCTACCCCAAGGCACTGCCAAATACCAATGATTTATGTGCTAGACTGCGTGCAAGCCATAAACAATATGGGCACGCATATATGACATTTATTTTGATACTCGTACTATATGTATAGTACACTATCTGGATCGATCAGTTCATTTCATTTACGTATTTCCTCTGTTCTCAACATAGAGATTGGGCTTGTTCTCTATCTATTATAGTATAAATCTCAGCTGCTCCCCTTGCTCTAATATCAAGGGCGTAGGCAGGGGGGAAAAAATGTTTGCCATATAATGTCGACCACAAGTTCATTATTATGACGTACTATTTTGCCTTAAAATGGATCTGAGTTGGATTTGTTGAAGTTTTTTCATTGATAATATGCATAAGTTATTTTTTAAATGCTAAAAAAAAATTTAATTTTTTGGGCCCCCCTTTGGAAAAAGCTGCCTACGCCCTTGTCTAATATTATTTAAAATTCTGGAGCGATTTCAATGAATTTGCTATTCTTGATTTGAAAGTAAAAGGTATTGAAAATTAACTCAAATTTGTTATCGAATTATACGCTTTGGAGTGGAATTTCGTTAGAGGTTTTGAACAAATGTGAAATTGTTTTGGTAGCAATTCCTAAAAACTTGGAAAACAATATTATTTACAAGTAATGTACTTGCATATATATGGAAAATGACTAATTACTAATCACTTAAGCCGTTGTTCCACTATCATTCAAAAATATTTCTTAGCAAAACTCGTCCTTAACGAAATGTTCACGTAACCAGAGAAATCATTACTAATAAAAATATTAAAAATATTTGCTAATAAGAAAGTGAAACAACATTATTATACTTTTATTTCCTTCGCTATTTATACTATATACTACATGTATTTACATATTTGCTCATATTAGAGGGCACTCTATGTTTATATTATAGCTTTAATTATATCACTAATCTACTTTTCGTGAATTTCAAATTCCGGTGCAAGCCCGAAATCTGCAACGCTGGCACTTCTCGTCTCTCTCAAGAGTCGTCTCCCAATTCTGGGAAATTGTGTTGGATTTCTATGCGACAGACGATAAGAAAGTGTTGCTTGAACATCTTATAATGACTCATAGAAACCTATTTTAAATTCAGAGAGCCAGACTTCAAATTAAGGAACCAGTTCTGGAAATGTATTGGTATTGAAAGTAATGGTTTAAGTCTTAAGTTAGAGTGACGAGAAAATTGTCATTTAAACAGTATTTATCCGTATTTTTTGTACTCTAATATTGATTCATAGCTTGTATTCAATTTTGATGGAACATTCTATATTTTAGGTGCCAGTCGACGACGGTGCCTGAGCATACTGAAGACACTGCGGGACCGTCATCTGGATCTGCCAGGCAATCCCGTGACGTCGTATCATTTGAAAACTTTGCTGCTGTACGAGTGCGAGAAGCATCCGCGCGAAATGGAATGGGAGGAGAACTGCATTGCGGATCGCATCAATGGAATCTTCCTGCAGCTGATCTCCTGTCTCCAGTGCCGCCGCTGTCCGCACTACTTCCTGCCCAATATGGATCTGTTCAAGGGCAAGTCCCCGGGTGCTCTCGAGAATGCGGCCAAGCAGGTCTGGCGCCTCACACGCATCATGCTGACCAATGTGCGTTGCCTGGAGGAGCTTTAAGTGGCATATGGAGGCACGATCCGCACCAGTGAAGCTCCCGATTTGGCGTGTTGTTGGAACTAGAACTTAAATGGAACGCATAAAGCACAAAGCACATAGCGAGGGAGAAGAAGTACACATATAGAGTTAGGAGCTAGAAGAGTTATACATAAAGAGCAGTGGCCAGTGATGTCAGTGGGGATGGGGCGGGAAGGTCAATCCAACAGCAGCAAGTTGACGCGCAAATTTTAACCCAAATACTATTTGATATTTCACTAGTTTGTAAATTACGTTTAGTGCTTTCGAAAAGTATACGCCGCTTAAAGAGTTTCCTATATTTAAACTGAAAAAAAAACCCAATGTACTCGTACTCGTACGCACACAAAACCTATGAATAATCCAATTTTTTTTTTGCAAACTTTGCTAAGCGCAAAACAAAATTAGTTCAATTAGTTGTAAGAGAAGGATAACTACAAATGTTAGACGAAAATGACACTTTTTGTTTTAATTTATTTATTTTATTCTTGCTTTTTTTGTGAGTTTAGTCAATAAAACATAAGTTTTGAAATGAAATTAAAAATGCATGAGAAACTGAAACTGACTGCATGTTCTTTTAATTGGTTTGTCTTTCCCATTGAGCTGCTGCTCAGACTTCTAGCAACGATTCCCGTTACAAAGCGCCGCCGTTTGATGTCCGAGAGTGCCACAAATTTGGATTGGACTCTGAGTTAGCCACGACTCGGACGAGCCAAGTGCCAGCCTTTGACTTTCGGGCCGCCATCGACATGCTCTGCATTTTGATTGCGAATCACCCGTAACAGCAATTTTGCGGACAGCTAACAAACTCAATAAACTTTGCGTAAATTGTGGCAAACATTCCCCCAACTTCTCTCCAGCCCCCTTTCGCCTTCTTCGCCTTGTCGCCAGCAAGCGCCGCAATATCTGTAGACTAGTAGTTGACTTTGAGCCCGACTTAACGGGCATCAGACATTTCGATCACGTGTCAGCTTCGACTTCGAACGACCGACATAACATTCAAATTAAATTTAATGCCTTTCATAAATTAAATAATTTCATTGTGTGCTTATTCTTTCGTTTGCCTCAATTTATACCTCATTTCATGCTCTCCACTGATTTATTATGCGACTCTTTCTTCAATGTTGTAAATTATTTTCAAAACGGCCATTGTAATTCGCAGTGACAACTAAATTACTAAATTCTGCCGTGCATTCTCATTCTCATTCTGCATTCTGAACGGACTTTCCAAATACATACATACTTGTAGTACATATCTTCAAAATGATTCGTGCTCCAAAAAATGCATGCTTTCCTACTTACTGTTCAAATCGGTGTGAAATGTGTCACACATTACACATACATACATACATACATACTTATGTGACAAGGCTGATGAAAAGGATGTAATGAATGTTCAAGGATGAAAACATTGGCATTTAAATATATTTGCAATTTTCATACTATATACATGAAATGTACAAGAGTATATACATATAGTCGATCTATGTCTGTCCGTCCCTATGATCACCTAGATCTCAGACACTTTGAGAGATAGAGACACCAAATTTTGCACAAAGATGCCTTATGTGCGTACGCTATACGAGTTTTTTTTATACCCTGTACCCGTAGGGTAAAAAGGGTATATTAGGTTTGTGCAAAGTATGTAACATGCAGAAGGAAGCATCTCCGACCCCATAAAGTATATATATTCTGAATCAGCATGTCCGTCTGTCCGTCTGTCCGTCCGTCTGTCCGTCTGGATGAACGCAAGGATCTCAAAAACTATAAAAGCTAGAATAACCAAAGTTGGTATCCAGATTCTCCTATGTCCGAGAAAGGACGAGCTTATTTTATTTTTTGGAATTTTTCCCCCCTTCCCCCGCTACTGAATTTCGTCAATAGCGTCCACATTTCAAATGCTATCTAAACCAAACTTTGCACACATAATTTATATATAATTATCTACTGTTGTGGAAGTTGAAAGCACATTTTTGAATGTATGGCAGCACACCAGACCTGCTCGCAACGGGATTTGCGCGTGGCATTTATTTCCATAGTTAACAAAGTGTTGCATATGGATCTAAAATCCTGCCGATCATAGTAAGTATGCGGCATTTAAGTTTACTTTTTCGGATACCAAAATATGTTGTCTCTTTAAAAAAAAGCATGTCGTATCGGTACGTCGCAAAAACGAATGATATCCACAATTGTGGCTTGAGAACGGTACGGGAGAGTCGGTGCACCACCCTTAATCTGATGCTTAGCGTTCTAGCTCCGTGTAGAGTTTGTCATCCATTAAGGGATGTCATTCATGGACTCGGTGGACCATTGGAGCCGACAGCATTAAGCCTGAGCTTGAAGATGATGCAAAATTTAGAAAGTGTTAACTTTTATTTATTTAATCAGTGATTGAAGATCAGGACTATCATATATAGTCGATAAATTGTCATTTATGTGCTAAAAGCTTGCAACAGACCAAGCGCCTATTTCGCTTTTCAAAATTGAAGATGTATGTAAAATAACTCAATGTTTCTGAAATATATTCCAATTATGCAAAATCTCTTGTAGTTTAATAAAAACAAAAATATATTTTAATATTATTGTTATCAATTTAGTCTTGTTTTTGGGTTTATTGTGCGCCATGCCACAGCCTTGATTGGATTAAAACGGATTTTCAGGAAGAATGACTGCCATGTTTAGCGGAGCATTCATTTTATTTTTACGGAATATGCGAAAGAAAAAGGTTATTTCAATCTCTCAAACAAAATTTCAGACTCGATTCAATTGTTTCAATTCTTTTAACGAATTTTCGGATACACATTGTGTGCAGTTACAATTCGTAAATTTATTTAGTTTACTTGTATGTTTATGTTTATATATGTATGTGAATCAATTTCCGCTATACATCCAACAAACAGAACTATCCATACTACTGAAAACAGTACTTTGTGCAATAATCGCACCTGTTTATAAGGAAGCAAGCTTGGTATATTATCATTAAATATAATTGAAGGGCAAGTCATATAATGGAACATTTTTTATCACAATACAAGATATACAGAGGTGGTTAAAAGTATTTACACAGCGGACATTTTTTTACATATTCCAATATAGGACCCTTTTTGGTTATTGTTAGAAATTAGTTCCGAAAAAATGTTAGTGTCACATAGTTAGATCTATGCAGTATGTGCCAAAAGCTATACTATAAATGTCTATGAAGTGTTACTTATACGCACTGTTGCCTCTCTCTACAATCTCGTGTTATTGGATTGAAACTTTTGGGCTGCCAAAATATATCGGATGTTGCACTGTTTCCACAAGGAGCATGAGTTATATGTATATGTATACTTTGAACCTAAGACGGAAGATGAAATTTAAGTTGAAACGATGTCTCACTAGGGGGGTCATAAACACAGTATTTAAGCTATAATTTGAAAAATGTTTGCCTGCACAGTCTTAATATAAAATTCAAATGTATTGTTTTCCATTTGTATTCGGTATCGCATCTACTTCAAGATTGAAAGATGAATAAAAATAATAAAATGTCGCAACAGATAGTAAAACCCTGGCTTTATTGCCGTTATTATCATAGTTTTCATTGATTTGTTTATTCGCGTGTAACCCAATACTACAAGTATGCTTCATAGATTATCTAAATATGGGACAGCAAGCAAGCCTAATCCAAGCCACTGGTCACTGACATTGCTACCAAAGCCAGCTACAAGGCATGTGGGCCGCTCGCCAGCATTCTATTTGCCAATTATGCCGGCGCATGGGCACGAGCTCCGGCACGGGACCCATTTAAAGGTGGAACAGACCTGCCTGATTGTAGTCTCCAATCCAACTGGCTAGTTGCGCTTTTAATGAGTTGTTGTTTATTGGATTTTATTTGCATTTTAATATGCCTTGAGAATTTATTATTTGTTGTTGTTTGCGGTCGATTGGCGGTATGTATAAACAATTTTTGTTTATTTTTCGCTTTTTTTTTCTGTGTTTACGGCCGCAACTTGTCGTTTTTGTTCGCTTTGTGGCTGTGATTGTTGGCAATAAGAATGATATGAAAAGAGAATAAAGTGAAATCTTTTGATTTGCCGCTTCCCACACAAATTAAATCATAATTAATAAAGCGGGCTATCTGTCGACTGTCCATCGCAATCACGAAGTATATTATATCTGACCAGTGGCCTCAAAAAGTATAAAGAATAAATAAACAAAAAGGTTGCGCTCCGCTTTATGAATGTCGTGCAAAATATATACAAGTATATACTATATATTTGCTAAATGGTCCGAAAGCAAATGTTTATGAACATTTCATAATCGCATTTTAAACACACCATTTGTTAAGTCTCGGGCAAAATGAAAATGAATTCATTTTTTTAATTCAATATAGTATATTTATTCACATGTGCAGCGAAACAAAGAAAATGAATTGTGAACAAGTATGTATAGTATGTACATACTCGTATGAGATATATTTTATTTCTCAACCGCATGCTGTGAGGGCAAAAGACAAAAACCAAAAAACCAAAAATGATGTGCGCATTTAGCTCTTAAGCTCTTAAGCTCTCTTGCATTCATATTATTATATTACCATATTATTTAAGAAGTCGGCCCGAATGGCAATTTGCATTCAATCAAGCTGGCTACCAAAAATGCCAGCAACAACCAATTACAACAACAACAACAAGAGTGTTTCTTCGGAGCGCCTTCTTTCTTTTACTTTGGCTGTCAGCATGTCGAGTTGCAGAATTTCAAGGGGAAAATCAAAACAAATGTTTTATTTAAATAGTTAATTTGATCAGCGGACAGACAGATACTGATTCTGATGCCTGACGCTGTCCGATTGTTGTTGTGCAACGCCCAAATGAGCGTTTTACAAGACGATGATGAGACCCAAACACAAATGATGAACAAATGGCGCAGGCCTGCCAAATCGTGAGAATTGCATTTTTAGCCACAAGAGCGCCGGCTGGCTAACTGGCTGGCCATTTTAATTTGCAGGCTTCAATCAAACTGCAGCACAGCAGCAGTCGCCGATTCTAAAAGCAAAAAATATGCATTAAGCCCGTAGCTCGGATCAGCTCGAACCACTTGACGGGAAGATCACGCGAATGTCGACGCACGACGCCAAACGTTGCAAGTTGGAACTCGAATTCTGCCTGGCTGACTGCCTAACTGGCTGGCTGACTGCCTAACTGGCTGGCTGACTGCCTAACTGGCTGGCTGGCTGGCGATGGCAACAGCGGCGCTTACCACTTAGCATAAACTGACGAGGGGGCGAGGCAATGGCAACGCCAACAGGCAAAGAGGCAGACCGGCCAGCCGTCCAGCCAGCCGGCCGGACGGCCAACAACAGCCTAAAATAGTCTGTGCAATGCTTCCTTCTCGACCCCCTCCATCCACTTAACCCACGTCTTGCGTGAGCCGCGAAAAACGCGACCGAAATGAGCCACGACCTGTGTGGCCGCTA